TCTGCGACTGCCGACTGCCGCCCAAAGCCCGGGGAGCTCGCCGTGCCATCAGCTGTCGGGCAGTCGGAGCTGCCTGTCTCGGCTGCTGGAGAAGGCTCGGCCCAGGCGCGCAAAGGGCGCGCGCCGGAGAGCCACCCTCTGAGCCGACGTGAGTACGGGTCAGAGGGGTTGAGCTCTGAGGCGATCCACCGAACGTAGACCCGAGATCCCGAGGCCAGGCTGAGAGCTGCTAGCTTCTGAAGAGGCCCTCTAAGATGACGAGACCGTGCTCTCCCCTTGGTGGCCGCAAGGGCCAGGGGCAGGTTATCGACCAGAGCGACAATGCTTTCGCCGTAAGCCTGCGAGCTCCGAAGAACATGACGGACTGCTAACACCAGAGCCTCCCCATCGAGCTCCAAGATGTTGGGGCCCTCCGAGATCTGCGCCGCGGCCGCGCCAGCCCAAGACGAAGCCTCGAGAATATATCCAGGGATCTCGTCGAAGACGGCCTCCGAAACGTTCAGGAAGGGGCCTCCAGGATATGTGGATGATTATGAGCTAGGCAGAGGAGGTGACGAAGGGTCGAGGTGACGCAGAGCTCTTCCACGGGCTCGTGAACCACCCTCGACTCGATAGCGCCCAAGCTCCGCAACTCGGTCGGGCGGGGGCCGCCGCCGCACAAGCCCGAGCCCGAACTCGGCTGCGTCGGGCGCGACCACCTGCCCATGCCAGCCAGCGAGCACGTCGGCCTGTAGAAGAGGAAGAAAGCACCTCACGCGTCACAGCTCCTCGCGCACCGAGCGCCACAGCGCTAGTGGCTGGCTGCCGGCCTTGGCGGCGAACGCGTGCGACGCACGCAGCAGGCGCAGAGCCTCACGCCTGAGCAGCGCCGACCAAGTGACATGGCCAAGCAGGACCTTCATGAGCAGCCCGCTGCAGTTGCCAATGCGGAGGAGCTTCTCGATCGACAGCCGTAGACGCCGCAGGCACTTGGGCCGGACTGCCAAGAACCGACCCTCCGAGAGGCTGAGGCCCAGGAACTCCGCGTCGTGGATGGCCGGCTCCTGGTCGTGAACAACGAGTCCCAGCCTCTCGCGCTGGAAGCGCACGCTGTCGCAGTGGCGGTCCGCGCTGCTGGCCTCCGCGCCCATCGCGAAGAAGTTGCCCGCGTATCCGGCGGCCGCGGGGGGCTCTCCATGCCGCGCCTGCCGCCCGGGCTGACCGTCCTCGATGAGGCTGCTCGTCGGGAAGCCGCCGAGGCTGATGCCTCGCCGAAGGACGCCCTGGCACAGGTGGAGGGCCCACGAGAAGCCCATGGGCAGCACGCGCAGACACGGCGCGATCGGCTGCCCCGCGCCAGCAGGCAAGTCGGAGACCCCGCAGTTCAGCGGCAGCCTCGCGTCCAGGCTCGGCAAGGAGAAGCGCCCGACCATGTCAGGCGGAACCAGCACATGATAGAAAGCCGCCTCCAAGTCCCCCGAGGCGATGAAGACCTTCTGATCCGCCCCCAGCGCGCCGAAAGCCGAAGGAGTAGGCAAGCGCGTCGAAGGGGCAGACACGAAGTCACAGTTGATGACCCGCGTGCCGAAGATGATCCGATGGCGCTCGTCTTTGCGCTTGACGAAAAACAATCCGAGGTCGCCGCCGTGCCCATCCCCCAAGTCAGCATCCCACGGCGCCAGGCCTCTCTCAGAAAGGTAGCATATTCACGAACGTTGTGCTTCAGCGCCGGGTCGACGCATGCGCCCCGAGGGCAGGCCTCCGCGCGGAGGCTCCGAGCAGCCTGAGACGGTCGCAGCACGTGCTCCTTCCAATCCCTAAGCCACGAGGCGTCCACTTCACCAAGCAAGTCGGTCAACGGGATGGGCTTGCTGGAGGTGGAAGGCCAGGCCATCTTGTCGCCGTCATAGGGAGCGACGGGCCCGCCACCACTGGTGTAGCCCGGCGCGCCTGACAGGAGCGCACTAAGGGCTCCCTGTCCTAAAAGGAGGTCTGCAGGAGGTTGACCGACACGTCGATAGCTGCGGCGAACGCGATCCAGGGCCAGTCGCTGACCTGCATTGAGGCTGACGCCGGAGCTGGAAACAAAACTGCCGCACAAGTCATTCAACGCGTCCACGCCCTCGGCAGCCCATCGATCAGCATGGGCAGCGCGAAGACGGCGGCGGGCAACGCAGCGGCTGACAGGGGCCTTGTCAAAATTGTCGGTCTCAAGCTCCAAGGCGGGCAGCGGGAAGAGGTCGCGCTGGCGGGCCTCCTCCATGGCTTGAGAGGAGCGGAGAGCGCCTTGGGCTGGTGGAGCGGCGGGGGCGCCCAGGATCCCCGCCGCGGGGCGATCACGCATCGCCGCCCTGCCCTCGCTGTCCCTTCTTGCCATGCTTCTTGGCGGAGGGCTTCGGGAGGGCTCGTTCCTCGCGCGCCTTGCGGCGGCCCTTGGCAAGTGCGGCCTCGCGGGCCAGTTCTGCGGCCACGAAGGACTGCAGCAGCGGGCAAACACAGAGGTTCCCCCGGGAGTGCTGGTTCCCGAGGAAGAGGTGCCGGTCATACCCCTCGTCATCGTTCCGGTCGTTCAGGCGGCGCCGGTACCTCTCCTCCTGCACCTGGAGAGACCGACTGACGGCCTCGAAGGAGGCCAGCGACGCAACGTTGAGCTGGTCGTAGCAGACGCCCTCCTGCAGGATGCGGCAGCACTCCTCATGTTCCACGACCCAGACGTCCGAGTCGGTGAGGCGGAAGGTGGTCTTGAACATCTGATGCCGACCGAGAGGCGTGCCCCCGTTCTCGCAGATGAATCTGCAGACCCAGAGGCACGTCCTATGCCCAGAGAGCCTCCAGTCTGGCCAGGGATGCTCGACCAACCTCAGCACGCCCTGAACTCGATGTGCCGCTGCCCCAGAATGTCGAAAGAGGCTGCCAAGACCCGCGGGTCGGGAGGGGCCGCGCCAGCGCCAGCGGCCGGGGGCCCAGGCACAGGCGCCAGGACAGGCTGCGCCACGACGGGCGCCACAGGGGCAGCGGCCGGAGCAGCAGCGGCCGCGGCGGCCGGCGAAGGAATCGCCAAAGCCCCAGGGACCGTTGGCGCGGCTGCGGGACGCGCTCCGGCGCCAGGGGTGGCAAGCGGGGGTGCGTCGCCACCCAGGGCAGCGACCAAGGCGCCGACCCCCCCGCCCAGCCCTGGGGCGCCGTCAGCAGCCACGGCAGCGGGGGCTGCGGCAGGTGCGCTCGGGTCGACAAGGGCGTGGACGCCGGCGGCCACCCCGAGCACGCTTCCCGCGGCGAGCTCGAGGTTGAGGGTGTCGCCAGCTGGCCGTGGAAAGCCCGCAGCGACTCCGCGCCTGATAGCAGCCCAAGCCTCAACAGCACCCGGCAGACGCCGAAACCGATGCACGTGAGCTCCGCCAGTGCCAGCGGGAGCACCGCCCTGGCCGACGAGCCTGATGACCTCTGCAATGTCCGGCGTCGGCGCGTTGCCCTCATCGTAGCTGTCGCCGTCAGGAGTCAAGATGTAGGACAACGCACCCCTCTCGCCTCTCGCCCAACGTCAATCTCTCATGGAAGAGAATGGGTCCGGGAACGCGGTATCTGACCAGGTAGAAAGATCCAGCCATCACTGAACCAGCGAGCGCCTGAGCTGACTGGCCCGCGCCTGCTCGATCGCGAGGGCGTGGAAGTCAACCGCCTCGGCTGACTCACGCTCGGGCTCCGGCGAGGGGCGCGCGCGGTCACCGAGGGCGACGCGTGGGCGCGGCCCTTCGCCTCCGACAACCTGGCGCAGCACGTTCCCGAGCCGACGGTTCAATGAGAGCACGAGCTTGGCACTCTCCACGAACAGCAGCCCCAGGAGCCCGGTCCCGATCTGCAGCGTCCAAGAAGGTGACGACGACTCGCCTGCCTCTGGGCAGGCCGGGCAAGGGGTACACGGAAACAGTCCGACAGCGGGACCAGCACCTCGGGCGGCTCCTCCCGCTCCAGCGCCGAGAACTCGGGCTGGACAACACCTGCGGCCGCCGCGGGAGCGGAGGGTGGCAGCCTCGGCGCAGCCTGCCACCACCAGCGCGCCACGCCTATGGCGCTCAAGTGGCAACGGACTGAGAAGCCAAGGCCGCGCACGACCACGGGCTGGGGGCAGGCTGAGCCCCTCAAAGACTTGAGCAGGCACGTCGACGGCAGGCGTCGAGGCGGCGAGCCCTCGGGGCACAGACACGTCACTTCAGCTTGTCAAAAGCGAACATGTGTATATATATATATATATATATATATATATATATATGTATGTATATATATATATAAAGAGCAATGCGATCGGCGGGGGCCATTCTATCCGACGTCCAACTTTGTCGAACTACAACGAGGCCCGCTCGCAACAGCACCGGGGACTTGCAAAAGCAAATCCAGACACGGGCAAAGAAAAACACAACGGACACCGCCAACGAATCACCAGACGGCTTGAACATCGACGGGGCAAGATGGCAGGAGAGCTCTTGATTCTGAAGGGCGGGGGCCGGGCCTCGGATCCGATCTGTGAAACACCACCCGTCGTCAGTCCCGCGCCCTTGCCGCGCAGCCTGCCTGTGCACCTTCGGTGCACCCCCCGTGGGTGTGAGGGGAGCGCGCCTACACCACGTATGATGTTGATGATGCTGCGCGTCATTGCACAGCTCTTTTGCTTCGCGGGCCACCCCCCCCTCGTGCCAAGCCAAACAGGGCCCGGAGCAGTCGAGGAACGGCAGCAGGAGGAGCTGCTCTCGGAGCTCGCCGTAGATGAGGGGGCCCAGGGACACACAAAGAAATTCTCACAAATAACAGCATTCCCCAACTTTTCCATATCTTTTGGATTTTCGTCTGCCCCCCCACTTCCCATATTTTCCAATATTTTCTGGGGAATCGACAATTGATTGTGTCTGTGTGTTTTTCTCCTCCTGAGTAGAGCAGCAGCAGCAGCAGCAGCAGCAGCAGCAGCAGGAGGAGGAGGAGCGAGGAGCAGCGGCAACCAGCTAGCTCGAGGCCGGCCGGCGCTCGTCCTGGAGCTCCATGGCGCCACCGTCCACGGGGGCTGGGGCATCGAGACCGCCCGGCTGGGCGCCGCCCTCGTCCTGCGGGGCCGAGCCGACCCGCGCCCCTCGCCGGGGGCGCGAAGGCACGGCCCACCTTCCCCCTCCCTTTGCTCCCCTGCTTCCGTCTGCTCAGCCTCCTCCTCTTCGCCGGACGTCTCTTCCTGCTGCCCCGGCGCTTCCACCTCCTCTTCTTCCGGGGTCGCTACTGAGACGCTCGCGCGCGAAGTACAAGCCTTCTGTTGTCCCCATCGTACTGAAGGGCCACATCCAAGGCACGAGTTCGAGCACCCACATAAGTATCAGCCCGACACGCTAGCCAAGTATGGATCGAGTATCGCATTCCAGGGCCCGACATGTGAAATCCCCCTAGCTTCGCTACTCTCCTCTCTCCTGGTGCTCGAAATTCTTCTGGGTGGTCACGGCAAAAGAAAGGGTTGGATTATCATAATACGAGCCGCCAGTCCAGCACCTGGACGGCCTCGCCCAGCGCAATGATATGGCGTCTGCGGAGAGAGGATGATCAACGACACTGGGCCTCCACATACAGCTGTGGCGGTCAAGACTGGGGAGTACAGTGGAGGCCCGACCACAATAATCCTTCCACAAGAAACCCAACCCTGAGACCCCAGGACGCCCATGGATTTCTGGCTGGGGAACGTCACGCTTTCCATGGTACAACCATCGGAACCCAAGAAACCCATGGCACCCTGGAGGCAAGCAGGGTGTTTCTTGGCATGGGCCTCCACTGTATTCTGGACGAGAAAATCAATCCCCACCCGCACTGGGGGATTCGTCGCCCCGCCGGGTAACCGAAATCCCTACCGCTGGGTCCTCGACGGGGATCGGTGCCATCTCCTGCGGGCTTCGGGGCGCCCGTTCCCACATAGAGGGGCTACGGCAAGCTCGTGTCGTGCCGACTTCGGCGTTGGTTCCTGACACCGTGGGGGCCATTCAACCTTGAAGGATCGGCCGTTTCCGAAACGTCAGATTCTGCCACATCGACCGATTCTGGGTCGCCGGCGGCGTCCAACGTTGAACGCCAGCGGCGGGGTCGCTGCCGGTCGACACAACGCGCACCTACCGTACGCTGGGAGAGGCAGCTTACCCGTCCCGACGGTCGTGACGATGATGATGCACACCTGTGTCTGGCCCCGCACATGCACGTCTTCGGTGCGCCAGGCCGCCGCTGAGCATGTGGGCGACGAAAAAGAAGAATCTTACGCAGGATGTCGTAGCGAACTTAGGCGGTGGCTTACGCGGGCCGCCAGCGCGGCACGCCACAAGGGAAACGAGAACGCTCACGCGCGACCTTACGCGGGAAGCTTACGAGCGAAGGTCGGCGCGGTCGACCCCACTTCTCTGCGTCGCTGAAGTGCCTTCGCGAGTTCCCCCGACGCGAACTTCCCCCGAAGAGGAGGAGGAGGAGAAGGAAGAGGAGGAGGAGCAAGGAGGATCGAAGAGGAGGAGGAGGAGGAGGAGGAGGAGGAGGAGAAGGAGGAGGATGACCCGTCTCCCTCCGAGGCCAACTTCCCGACGACGATGGCAGCCGCGAGGCAGCCCACAGGACACTCGCAGAGGACCCAAAAAGTCTCCCGAGGGTCTAGTGTACGGCCCCGAGCGTCGAACGACTGCGACAAAACCTCGCCGCCGCTCACGCCCAATCGCCTACGTAGGCACTCCCCCTTCCCCCCCTCCTTCTCCTCCTCCTCCTGCTCCTCCTCCTCCTCCTCTGCCCCCCTCCTCCCTCTTCTCTCCTCCTCCTCGCTCCTACTCTCCTCCTCTTCAGCCTCCTCCTCCTGCTCCTCCAGCCTCCTCCCACCCTACCAGCTAAGCTCCCCCCAGCCCTCCTGACCCCTCCACATCTTCCTCCTCCTCTCCTCCTCCTCCTCCTCCTCATCCTCCTCCTCCTCATCATCATCATCACATCACATCCTCATCCCATCCTCATCATCATCATCACATCAAAGTCATCATTCCCCCTCCTCCCCTCCCTCCTCCTCCTCCTCCATTACTCTCCTCGTCCTCCTCCATTACCCTCCTCCTCCTCCTCCTCGCTCCTCGACCTCCTCGCTCCCTGGGCGGCTGAGGGCTGGCGGCGGCAGTCCTCCGCGTCGCCCTCGCCCCCCTCGCCCTCGGGGGCGGCGCCCGCCTGCCCCTCTTCGGGGCCGGCGGCGCCTTCCCCGGGATCGGCGGCGTCCTGCTGCCGCAGGGGGGGAGCATGGAGGAGGAGGAGGAGGAGGAGGAGGAGGAGGAGGAGAGGAGGAGGAGGAGGAGGAGGAGGAGATGGAGGAGGAGGAGGAGGAGGAGGAGGAGGAGGAGGAAGGAGGAGGAGGAGGAGGAGGAGGAGGAGGAGGGAGGAAGGAGGGAGGAGGAGAGGAGGAGGAGGAGAGGAGATGGAGGAGGAGGAGGAGGAGAGGGAGGAGGAGGAGGAGGAGGAGGAGGAGGAGGAGGAGGAGAAAGGAGGAGGAGGAGGAGGAGGAGGAGGAGGAGGAGGAGGAGGAGGAGGAGGAGGAGGAGGGGGAGGAGCAGGAGCAGGAGGAGGAGGAGGAGGAGGAGGAGGAGGAGGAGGAGGAGGGCCCCCAGGGGGCGGCCTCGATGCGCGGGCGGCGCATCGGGGCCCCTGGGGGAACTGAAGTCCGCCAAGACGTCGCTTGCAGCGTCGCGGCCCTGGAGCGGTGGTCCCCTGGCGGGCCTGGGGCGGCCCCCCGACTCTGCCTGGTGGTCCCCGTGCGGAGCCGGTCTGCCGTCTCAGGCCCCCCGGGGACCCAGCGTTCTGGGGCCGCGTGGGTAACCCCCCAGGGCTGGCGCAAACCGGTTTGCCAGTTTGCGTCGGCCTGCGTGGTACCAGCCTGTGCGGGGGCTGGCTGTGGCCACTGTTGGGGCCCGCCCCTGACGTCGGGGTGTCGGATGTGGCCAGGGGGGTCGACTCTCGTGGAGAGTACGGCTCAAGACGTGTACCGCATGGCCCCCCCTGGGCAAGGGGGCCTGTGGGGGCGGGCCAGGTTACCCATGTGCGGTAACACGCGCCGTGTGCCCCGCACGGTGTCGTGGGGTAACCTGTGTCCCCTGGTGCAGGAAGAACCAGGGAGGCATGGGGGCTGGCCACTTCCGGTGGTCCGTGCTGCTCAGCGAGCAGTACGTGCGTGGCCGGCGCCTCCTCTTTTCCCCCCCCTCCTCCTCGTCCTTCCCTCCTCCTCGGGCCCCGTCGGCGTGGCGGTCGCTAGCTCCAGGTGATCGCGGGGTGGGCAATGCCCAATCCATACAGTAGGCGGGCAGGACCCAACCTGTCCGCAAGCCTGCGTCCAGGAAGAGGAGGAGGAGGATGAGGAGGAGGAGGAGGAGGAGGAGAAGGAGGAGGAGGAGGGGCAGCCAGGAAGAGGAGCCAGGAGCCAGGAGGAGGCGGAGCTACGATGAGGAGAAGGAGCCAGGAGCTAAGAAGAGGTGGAACTAGGACGAGGAGAAACCAGTAGCTAGAAGGGGGAGAAGATAGGAGGAGGAGGAGGAGGAGGAGGAGGAGGAGGAGGAGGAGGAGGAGGAGGAGGAGGAGGAGGAGGAGGAGGGAGGAGGAGTCAGGAGCTAGGAGCAGGAGAAGATAGGCGGATGATGGCGAAGAGAGGGGGAAGGAGAAGGTGAGAGAAGAGGAGGAAGGAGAGGAGGGGAGGAGGGAGGAAGAGGAGAGGAGGAGGGTGAGGGAGGAGAAGGAGGAGGAGGAGGAGGAGGAGGTGGGGAAAGGAGGGCCGAGGAGGGCGGAGGAGGGGGATGGGGATGAGAAGGGCGGCGGCGGCGGAAAATGGTATTGCCGAAGAGACGTGATCACGGGGAGAAGGGAGGAGAGGTCGAGGAGAGAGGAGGAGGATGAGAAGGAGGAGGAGGAGGAGGAGGAGGAGGAGGAGGAGGAGAGGAGGAAGAGGAGGGGAGGGAGGCAGGAGGAAGAAGGGAGAGGAGAAGGAGGAGAAGGAGGAGGAAGGAGGAAGGGAAGGAGGAGGAGGAGGAGGTGGAGGAGGAGGAGGAGGGGAATAGGAGGGTCGACGAGGAGGAGGAGGAGGAGGAGGAGGAGGAAGAAGGAGGAGGAGGAAAAGGAGAGGAGGAGGCGGAGAAGGAGATGGATGAGAAGGAGGCGGGAGGAGAAGGAGGAGGAGGAGTCGGAGGAGGATGGAGCAGGGGGTGAGGATGTTCCTGTTGATGATAATGATGACGATGGTGATGATGCTGATGGTGATGATGATGATGCTGATGATGATGATGATGATGATGATGATGGTGATGATGGTAATGATGCTGATAATGCTGATGCTGATGCTGCTGCTGATGATAATAATGATGATGGCAATGATGATGATGCTGATGCTGATGCTGATGCTGATGATGATGATGATGAGGAGGAGGAGGAGGAGGAGGAGGATAAGGAGGAGGAGGAGGAGGAGGAGGATGAGGAGGAGGTGGTGGAGAGAGGAGGGCGGAGGGAAGAGGAAGAGGAGGAGGTGAGAGAAAGGAGGAGAAGCAGGAGGAGGCGGAGGAGGAGGAGGAGGGCGTGGAGGAGGGGGAGGAGGGGGAGGAGAAGGATGAGGGGGAGGAAGGAGGAGAAGGAAGGAGGCGGAGGAGGAGGAGGGCGGTGTGGAGGAGGTGGAGGAGGAGGTGGAGGAGGACGAGGAGGAGGAGGTATACTACGAACTTCCATGCAAAGTACTGGAAATGTGGGAAGCGGAGGGTGGTGGACAGAGGAGGGATGTGGAGGGGGAGGAGGGAGGAGGGGAGATGTGGGAAGAGGAGAGGGGGGTGCGTGCGCCCTCCGATGCCCTACGCGGCCGTCCGCTGCACGCCCGGGGCCTGGCCCTTTCCTCGGCGGCTGGCCAAGGCACGGAGGAGGCGCCGCACAGAGGGGCCCCACCGCGATTTGTCCCCCGCGAGGGCCTCGTTGGGCCCCTCGCGCGAGTGGAGCTTCCTGCCCCCAGTGCCGAGTCGAAACCAGGACGGGGATACATCCGGTTGAGCATAGATCGTGAACCTCTGAGACCCTGCGGGTAGGCAGGACGTCTCGGGCGCCGCGGCCTTCTCAGAGCGTTCTGGAACACTCCGGCACGCTCTGCAAAAGACTTGCCCTCGCTCGGACGTCCATTCCCCGTGCACGTTTCGATTTCGTGCGGGAAGAAGTAGGTAGAAACATGATGTAAGAAGACGTTGGAAGTAGATTGGGTCTCCGCCCGCCCCCTGGAGAGGAGGGAGAAGGGTAAGCCACTCGATCATTGAGGTAGGGGGCGCTTAAAGTAGATTGAAATATGGGAGTCCAAAAATACCTACTTTCAACGACCGATGAGTAGGGTTCGCATGTGGCCCTCTAGCTCGGGCACGGCGCTGGGGCCGCGGCCTCGCGAACGTGCTGCGTGGGATGAGGCCCGCGCGGCAGCTGCCGCTCGGAGGCTCCGGACGGCCGATGGCCTCCTCGCGGCGCGCGGGCTGCCGCGCTCGCGCTGCCTTGGCGCGGTCGCTGCCCGACGCCGGGGCTGCCCGGCGTCGGCGTCGCAGCGGTGCCCGTCCCAGGCTGAGGAGGGGGGAGGGATGTGAGGAGCGAAGAGGCAAGACGCGGCACGGATCGTGCCGAAGCCGCCTGGATCGCGACCTCTCGCGCTCCGTCCCGCACGCGTTCTCCTCCTCGTCCGTCGTCGGGTCGCTCCATGCCCTGACTGTGGGGTCACTATGGTTCTGATGCGGCCCGGGGTGCCCGCCACTATTCCTGCGTCGGGCTGTCACGGAGCTTTTGCGAACAGCGACTCAGCGGCCGCGAAATTGGGCCGCTGCCCGAGCAGCCTGCGCGCTGCCTCTGAGCGCGGGTACCCGCGTCAGGCCGTCACGCATGGTGCGGACCGCGGCCCCCCTGCCCCCTACCATGGGTGCATGGGGTTCCCCCCCCCCGCGCCCCACGATGGGCTCGCAGGCTATAGAAGGGTCGACAGGTGGGGGAGAGGAAGATCGAGGGAGTGACGGGACGAGATGATGAGCGGGGACCGGTATGTACTCGTGTTCTGATGCATTGACATCTGCTGGAGCGGTTAGACATTCAAAGCAAATCCAAGCCCGCCTAACATACCCTGCATACCCAGACATCCGGCTGCTCCGATTTTTCGGTGCGCGGGCCCCAGAGGTCCAGACCACTTCCCCAGGACCGGTTGTTCGTCCTGAGCCGTCGTTTGACGCTCCCGAGGCCCGACGAGGGCCCCCCGAGGCCGAAAACGGCCAAAATCCCGGCGCCCAAATTTTTGTTGGAACGTAGGAGCTTTCGGTAGCGCGGCCGCCAGGGCCAAAGTGTGCCGGCGCTCACTGAGTATCCCGCCTCGCGTCTTCGACGGATGGCGGCCACATGCCACGGCAGCTGGGCCCAAAGTGCGGCGTGCGCTCTCTGGGGTGTCCCGCCTCGCGCTCTTGGGTGGGGGTCGCTCGGGACAGACCGAAGAGGAGGAGAGGGAGGGGGATGAGGAGGAGGAGGAGGAGGAGAAGGAGGAGGAGAAGGAGGAATCGCTGTGCTGGTATTTGAATGGTGTGCTGATCCAACATGTACGGATGCAGCGTTGCTGTGACGGATTGTTGTCGTGATGCGTCGGTGCGTCATGCATGAACGTCCTGATGGCTCCACGCCTGGATGCCTCGTGGAGCGGGCGGCTACAGCACAACCTCCGCCTCCGTCGATATGTTGTTTGTATTGGGGGGGGACGCGGGGACGAGGGTGGGGGGCCAGGGGTAGGCGTAGAGACCCTGGACCCTGGAGCAGACATACCAGCGATCCTGCTCCTGCGGCCAGCCCATCAGTAACCTCCTCCCCCCCCTCCGATTTCTCCTCCTCCCCCATCCCATTCTCCTCTTCATTCTTCCCTCCCCTCTCTCGTTCCGCTCCTTCCTTTCCACTTCTCAGCAATACCTTCCATCAATCCTCCCTCCGCCTCCTCCTCCTCCTCCTCCTCCTCCTCCTCCTCCCCTCCCTTTGCTACAATTCCGTCCTCCTCTCCTTCCTGGTCAACCTCCTGCTGCCGTTCTCCCTCCCTCTCCCGCCCCTCCCCCCCGACCGATTCCTCCTATCCTTCGCCCTCGATGGCCAAATGGCGGTTCGGGTGTCACCCCATTAAGCAAGCCTGCAAAAAATGGTGGGACTTGGGAACCCAAGTTTCGCTCTCCGCCCCTGGTGGTCTTCGGGCGATAACTCAGGCATCCGGCGGCCGTTCGGGACGATTCTGGCATCCGCGGAAAACTCTCGACGCGAAGCTGGTAGAGCGCATCTCGAATCTGAAGAAAGCCACCGACAAGAACGTCCGAACAACTACCGGTTTCCCTCCTTCCTCCTCCTCCTCCTCCTCCTCCTGCTCCTCCTCCGCCTCCCCCTCCGCCTCCCCCTCCTGGTCCTCCTCCCGCTTCTCCTCCTGCTCCGCCTCCTCTTCCCTCTCTTTTCTCCTTCCTCCTTACGTCTCCTCCCTCCTCCCTCCTCCTCCCTCCTTCCTCCTTCCTCATTCCGCCTTCCTCATCCATCCTTCCTATTCCCCCCTCCGTCCTCTCTCCTCTCTCCTATTCTCCTCCTCTCTCTCCTCCTCCTCCTCCTCCTTCTCCTCCTCCCTCTCTCCTTCCTCCTCCTCCTCCTCCTCCTCCTCCTCCTCCTCCTACTATACTACTACTACTACTATACTACTTACTACTACTACTACTCTCCTAATCCTATCCTTATGATTTATTAGAATATACTCCTACTCCCCCCTCAGGCCGGCAGATAGCGGGCCGCATCCGGGTGGTCCCATCCTAACCTGTAAAAAACAATACAAAATCAACATTTTTCTTATTTTTTCCTCTCGACATGGACGTCCTGTCGTCCACGGCGATAATCCATTGCAAAAAATACCACAAAGAGCACACGCGCGCGTTCATGTCAGAATCCTACCGAACACCGTGTGTTTGCAAGCATTTCAACATAAAAACATCAAAAACCCAATGCTTTTTCACAAAAATTGTACAATTTCCCGCCCGGGCTCTCTTGCTGAAATCATAGGAAAAACATAGGAATCTTAAGAATTCGGTCGAATCCAGCGATTTCGCGTCATCGCGCGGTGCACTCGCGATGCTCTGTCATGCACCCAGGCCGCGAATCCTGTGCAAAAAATACCACAAAGAGCACACTCGCGCGTTCATGTCAGAATCCTACCGAACACCGTGTGTTTGCAAGCATTTCAACATAAAAACATCAAAAACCCAATGCTTTTTCACAAAAATGCTTTGGGGTGTCCTGTCAGACCGTCGGGCTTCCTCCGGCCACCTCTGGCTTCCTGCGGTGTACCGGGCCATTCTCGACTCGTCTGGCAATGCGTGCGCGGCATTCAACACGCGCTCGCCAGTTCCCGTCGGCAACCGCCATCGCGGCCGCATCAGCTGTACCAAACCGGCTGGCCGGTGTGACTTCGGCCCCCAGTTGTGCCAGCTTTGCTTCTTATGTTGTGGGAGGGCGGGTGGGACTGGGCATGCCATGCTTGACTCGCTCGAGCTGGCTAGCTTGACTCCTACTCCTACTCTACTCCTATCCTTATTCCTTATTAGAATATACTCCTACTCCCCCCTCAGGCCGGCAGATAGCGGGCGCATCCGGGTGGTCCCATCCTAACCTGTAAAAAACAATACAAAATCAACATTTTTCTTATTTTTTCCTCTCGACATGGACGTCCTGTCGTCCACGGCGATAATCCATTGCAAAAAATACCACAAAGAGCACACGCGCGCGTTCATGTCAGAATCCTACCGAACACCGTGTGTTTGCAAGCATTTCAACATAAAAACATCAAAAACCCAATGCTTTTTCACAAAAATTGTACAAATTTCCCGCCCGGGCTCTCTTGCTGAAATCATAGGAAAACCATAGGAATCTTAAGAATTCTGTCAAACCCAGCGATTTCACGTCATCGCGCGGTGCACTCGCGATGCTCTGTCATGCACCCAGGCCGCGAATCCTGTGCAAAAAATACCACAAAGAGCACACTCGCGCGTTCATGTCAGAATCCTACCGAACACCGTGTGTTTGCAAGCATTTCAACATAAAAACATCAAAAACCCAATGCTTTTTCACAAAAATGCTTTGGGGTGTCCTGTCAGACCGTCGGGCTTCCTCCGGCCACCTCTGGCTTCCTGCGGTGTACCGGGCCATTCTCGACTCGTCTGGCAATGCGTGCGCGGCATTCAACACGCGCTCGCCAGTTCCCGTCGGCAACCGCCATCGCGGCCGCATCAGCTGTACCAAACCGGCTGGCCGGTGTGACTTCGGCCCCCAGTTGTGCCAGCTTTGCTTCTTATGTTGTGGGAGGGCGGGTGGGACTGGGCATGCCATGCTTGACTCGCTCGAGCTGGCTAGCTTGACTCCTACTCCTACTCCTACTCCTAATCCTACTCCTACTCCTACTCCTCCCTCTCTCCCTCCCTCCCTCCCTCCCCCCCACCCTCCCTCCCTCCCTCCATCCCTAGTTTCTCTCCTTCCGCCCTCCTCCTCCTCTTGCTCCTCCTCTCCGAGGGCGAGCAGGTGCAGCGGGCGTCCTCGGCACCCTCCGCCGCGCCGCCCTGCTCGGCCCCGACCGCCGCGGCGCCCTCCAGCTCGGCCGGCGCGTCGGGGGCGGCGCCGCCCTGCTCCTGGTGACGACGACGACGACGCCGACGAACACGATTCGGCTTCTTCTCCTGATCTTCCTCCTTCCACATCTCCTCTTTTCCTCCTCTTCCCCACGCCTCCCAATCCCCTTCTCCTCCCCCGTTGCATCCCCTGGTGGTGAGCGAGGGGCGTCCAAGAGTGGGGATGGCAAATCATGGCTCCAGGCATGGGTGCTGGGCCAGGGGACGCAGTGAACTAAGAAGCGGGGTCATGAGATCCAGGGAGCTATCGTGGCCCCTGGCCATGACTGAAGGGGCCCAGGATCCCCTGTATTTTCACATATATATATATATATATAGAGAGAGAGAGAGAGAGAGAGAGAGATTCGTCTTCCCCCCCCCACTTCCCATATTTTCTCATGTTTACTTGGGAATACATGACTGATTGTGTTTGTGCTTTTCCTCCTCCCGAATGATGTCCACCGGCCCCTAGTCATCACCCCTCTTGGCCGCCCCCGTCTACCAATACGCTACTGACCAGACCTCTGCAACGGTGCTGCTGACAAGGATTTCGAGCAGAATCCAGCCGCGGCGACGAGGCCTCCCAGGAGGCCCAGGCATGCGAAAACGAGGCACGGGCCCCGGTTTTCGGGTCACAGCTCGGCCCTCCGGCGGCCGTTCGGGGCGATCAAGGCATCCACGGAGCGGTCTCGGCGAGGCGCGGCTGCTGGAGAGCATCCGGAGGCTGGAAAACCGTCGAAAGAACCGACGAAAACCAGCGAAGACAACCTCAGGCCGACGAAAGATGCCAGAAATAGTCGAAATCGGCATCTGTTCCTACTCAGACCTCCACCTCCCCGTCTTCCCTCCTCTTTCCCACGTCCTCCCCGCTGCCCCCCCACTCCCAGGCTCCGCTAATTCACCCATTGTTTTGAAACCTCCCACCCGTCTGGCTCATATTGTCGGGCCGCTGGGGGTGCAGCCAGAGCCGGCGGATCTCGCTTGAAGGTAAACCGAGCTGGCCTGTTCTACGCCAGCCCCTACGTCTTGCTGCAGGCGGGCCCGAACCCACCGAACTCCTCAGTCTGAGCGCTGCCCCCCCCCTCCCTCTGGCGAGGAGCGCTCGCCTCCGCAGGCGCGCCGCCCAGCTGGTCCCCCCCCTGCAAGTCGCCGTCGCCCTCTTGGTCCTCCTGGTCGCCTCCGAGGCCCTCGTCCTGCGGGCGAGGGGGGAGGGGGGCTCCTGGATGTGCAGCCCTTCTGCGGGAGGACCACGTGTGATCCTGATCGTCGTCCTCCTCCTCCTCCTCTTCCTCCTGCTCCTCCTTCTCCTCCTCCGATCCCTCCCCCTGCCCCTCCTCCTGCCCCTCCTCCTGCCCTCCTGCTGCCCCTCCTCCTGCCCCTCCACCTGCCCCTCCTCCTCCTCCTCCTCCTCCTCCTCCTCCTCCTCCTCCTCCTCCTCCTCCTCCCTCTCCCTCCCTTGGGGGATCCCCAAAACTGTGGGGTGACCGCACCGCGTGGTGAGTCAGTGGGGATGCAGTGTCACCGTGCGGTTTTGGGACTCGGGTCGTTCCCCGATGATATGTGTATATATAAATATGTATATGTGTATATACATATATACATATATATTTATATATATATATATATATGTATGTGTGTATATGTGTAAATATGCATATATCGGGTCACAAAAACAAAGGTCACAAAACCGTGAGGCGACGATCCGCGCGCTGAGGCCTCTCGGGGCTCCGAGGCCACCACGCTGTCCTGCACCACACGGCTCCGGTGTACAAAAAAACACGGCCTCGCTGCCGTGTCCCGAGGCGTGCCGGTGGGGCGGGCCGGAAGCTTCGCCCGAGTCTTCTCCACCGCCCGTGTTCCTGGAGCCCGCAGGTCTGCAGCACCTCCACGGATGGGGTGCGGGTGCTTTTCAAATGGTGGGTCTCGCCTGAGCGCTGCGCGCGTTCCTCTCTTCGCGTCTGCTGAGACTTCACGGGTGGAGGGCGGGTGGTCTGTAGCATGTGATGTGGCCCTCGCCCCAGCGACGCGCACGTGCGTGTCAGAAGTTTGAAAGCGCTTCGCGGATGGAGGGCGAGTGGTTTTCGACATGCGGCTCTCGTACTAGCGCGGCGCGCAGTATCCAGATGGAAGGCGTGCCGTTTTCGAAATGTCGATCTCGCATGAGTGCCGCGCACTTTCGTCTTCAAAATTGGCAAGAACTTCACATGTTGAGGGCGGGTCCTGGTCAACATGTGGCTCTCGCTTTCAATGTCGCGCGCATCTGTGTTAAAGTTTGCAGGGGCTTCGCGGATGGAGGGCGAGTGGTTTCAACATGTGACTTTCGCCTCAGCGACGCACGCATTCGCCGGAAACGCTGTGTAGGAGCTTTAAGGGTGGAGAACGGGCCCTTTTCAAAATGTGGCTCTCGCCTTAGCGCCGCGCTCATTAGTTCATCTTTAAAGTTCCCAACCGTTACAAATAACATGGTTGACGTCTCAGGAACACTGTCCTGGCAAGATTTAGGATGATCTGGACGCAACTGTCACGTTGATTCGCGGTGCTGAAATTCCGAGGAGTGGTATTCTGGCACGGCCCAGGATCGTCAGGACTCAGCAGTAACGTGGATTCGCAGCGCTATTGGTCTCCCAAGGCCCACATGTCCTAGTAGTCCCGCATGTCCAGCCTGTCCCAGAGAGCTCACTATCCCCACAACATCCCAAATCTCGCACGTCCCGCAGTTCCCGTATTTCCAGCGCATGTCGCGCGCGGCGCGCTGGGGACCCCCAGACACGCTAAGTGTCGGCAACCGCAGACATATGCTAAGTGCAGCCAGTAACGCAAAGCAGAGTCACGCACACGCGCAAAAAAACGCGGCGAACACTCAACTCGCAACACTGGCAAACACACACAACACTGGACGTCCACGCTAAGTACCAACCACGCAGGATACACGCTAAGTGCGGAGCACTTAGCGTGTATAGACGCATTCCCAACTACACGCTTAAGAATCGGATCATCAGCGTAGATGTGGTCCGAGCACACACGGGGTCGGAAGATCTCGTCGCATTGCCGATGCATCGGCGATGCGTCGCCGATGCATCGGCGATCGGGCTCCACATCGAGCCGCATCAGCGATGCATCGACGATGCGGTACGATCCTCCGATCAAATCTGCTCGGACTCCTTCTGGGAGGTCTACATCCCCCTCCTCCTCCTCCTCCTCCTCCTCCTCCTCCTCCTCCTCCTCCTTCCCCTCCTCCTCCTCCTCCTCCTCCTCCTCCTCCTTCTCCCCCTCAACCTCCGGGAGGAAGCACAAGCATTGACAGGACAACGAACACGAGGGATCAACAACGGCATCAATCTAACCTGGGTCAATACAAGCCCGGGTCAGTCGGGCTTTGCAGAATCCTTCAGGATCCAGCAGCATACTGCACGAAAACCCATGTCAATGCAACCCCGGCTCTGCAAGATCCTTGGGTACCGATACCGCTACTCCCCAGACCTCTCCCGGGGTGCGTCCTGACCAGAATGTCGAAGCGAATCCAGCGGTGGCGACGAGGGTCTCACATGGTTGGGAAAAAAAAGAAAAAGGAAAACGGGCGAAGGGTAGCGGTATGAGCAGATTTCCCCCCTCTGAATCTTGCAAGATCCAGCGCTGTGGCTGACTCCCGTCTGCATTGACCCCCGACGACGACGACGATGACGACAACGCAGACGCAGACGCAGACGCAGACGCAGACGCAGACGCAGATGCAGCCGCAGCCGCAGCCGCAGCCGCAGACGACGACGACGACGACGACGACGACGACGACGACGACGACGACGACGACGACGACGACGGCACGAGGCCGCCCGGCGCCGCATCCTTGGGCTCGATGCCACCCCACGCCGGGATATGGTCCTCGACGGCGCCGCTGCCGTCCTCGTCCTACGGGGCTGGGGCGCGGCGCGTGCGGCGAGGAGCCTTCTCTTGCTCGGCGCGTCGTGGCGGCAGGCAGTGCGACGCGCGATGCCTCGCAACCCGATGGCGGGTCGCTCTGCCTCCTGGGACGGGAGGCTGGGAGTTACCCCGGCAACGCACCCTGATAAGAGCATAGGTGGAGGAAGCGGCGGGGCGAGGAGGATGAGGTCGACGGATGAGAACATGCATTCCTGGGTATTCCCAGGGACTGCCGGGAACGTTGGTAGGCTGGAAGGGGGGAGAGCACAGCCATATGCACTGTACTGCATTTTACACAAGGAGGGATCGTGGTCGTCCGAATCAACAGCGTAGCCAGCATTGAAGCGAGACCACGATCCCTGAAACTAGTGTGAGCAAGTCTCTGGCGGAACGTTTGCTGGACCAAACGATCTAGAAGGGTGGTTTCGGGTTCCCCGTTCCCTATGCGGGACTTCTATGTCATCCTCTTACCGCCACTGGAACCCTCTTGCGAAGCGCTATGCGTGGAGAACCCTGAACATTCATGGCTGCCGCGCCGAAGCGTGATGGACCAGAACCGGCGGCGCGACGTGCCAAGCGAACAGTGCGACGCATGTCTTTCTTGCAGCATGCGGTCCTCGGATGTCCCGATTGCCCCAGGGCCGCTTCTCCACCATGTAGAGGCCTCCTGGATTAGGAACGAGCAGATGGGGGTCGGAGCATCGCCGATGCATCGGCGATGTCAGCGGTGCAACGGCGACGCAAGCGCGGAGAAAGTCGGGCTCCACATCGAGCCGCATCAGCGATGCATCGGCGATGCGTCTCGATCCGACGACCCCATCTACTCGGACCCCATCTAAGATTCGGACGCCCGAGATGGGAACGGAAGGAATGTATACAATGCCCAACAACAAAGGTTGTCCAACACGGACAGCGGACGCTGTTGGGCAGGCGGCTTCTGACTTCACACAACCACGTCCGCGGCGGCGCGGACAGCGAGTCCTGCTCAAAATGAACCGAAACTGCTGTTGCGCATCGTATCCTCTCTTTCCGTCCCCATTCCGATCGTCCCGATAGGAGGCTTCGAACATGGGCTGTCAGGCTGACGGGGACCAGGCGCCCCCTGACGAGACCCAGGGATGTGGACAAAAAAGCTGAGTCCCATCAGCCCTCTAGGTGTGAGCGGTTTAGCGAGGTTCCTCTTACAGCTTCCCCCACTGGGAGGCCACATGCGAACTAGACTCCCCCACCCCACGATTTCGAAGGGGGGATGTGGGCCTCAGTTCGTTCGGGACCTCCCGAGCGAAGTGAACCCCACCTCCCCCCTAGATATCGTGGAGTGGTGGGGTAGGGTTCCCATCTGGCCTCCTACTCATCCCCTCCGGGAAGGGGTTTATCTCTCCCCCTCCCCCCTGGGTCTGGAGGGGAGGGGTCGCGGGTCGTTGGAGCGTCCAAGATGGCCTCGGGGAGGAAGCCCAAATCAGTAATGTTACGACGGTGCTGGCCACATGTTCGTCTCCTGGGGGGGATCCGAATTAGGGAGCTACTCTGCTTTGGTCAATATGCTCCAAGATGGCCCAAAGATGGCCAGCCGGGCTTCCCCAAGACGGCCCCAAGAGGTGTCCACGAGGCCCCAAGAGGCTCCCAATAGGCCTCCACGATGTCCCCAAGAGGCTCTCAAGAGACTCCCAAGAGGCCTCAAGATGAACCCCAGAGGCACCCAATACGCCAACATCACTTATATTACTGCGTAAGGTTTTGGCCGCATGTTGGTCTCGTTGGGGGGGGACCCTGATTGAGGACCCCCCGATCTCATCCAAGATGGCCCAAAGACGGCCAGCAAGGGTGCCCCAAGACGGTCCCAAGAGACCCCACGATGCCCCAAAGAAGCTCCAAAGAGGCTCCCAAGAAGCCCCCATGAGGCTCCCAGAGCCCCCGCCAGGGGCACCCAATACACCGCCTTCTCCTCATCCTTCTCCTCCTTCTCCTCCTCTTTCTCCTCATCCTCCTTCCTCGTCTCTCCTCCCTCCTCCTCAACCTTGCTCCTATCATACTCCTAGTGCCGTCATCCCCGTCTCATGCAGCCTGCTTCATCCTCCTCCTCCTCTCACTCTACTGCCTCCTCCTTCCTCTCTCCTCCTCTCCTCCTCATCCCCCCTCCTCCCACTCCTTACTCCTCCACCTCCTCCTCCTCCTCCTCCTCCGACTCCGACTCCGACTCCTCCTCCTCCTCCTCCTCCTCCTCCTCCTCCTCCTCTTCCACTTGCTCCTCCTCCGATTCCTTCTCCACCCTTCCCATCTTTCCCAACCCTTTGCTTCACTGCATTATCCTCCATCCTTGATTAGGCCATCTCGTCTGGGCATCGTTTCTGGATGCGCTTGTGCGGTCATGTTGGAGGTCTGGGAATCAGGCGAGGGAAACAGTTAATTAGGGGAAGACCACCTAAGCGGAGGGGAAATATCGAGCTGGCATCGGCGATGCATCGTCGATAGATCGGCGAGAACCCCAACAACAAGTCCGCACGCTCCGATACACTGGCGACTGGGGGTCGACGAATCCTCCCTGAACCTCTCCCCCACCCTCCGTTGCCCCCCTGGCTTCCAGGCCAGAACTCAGCTCTCTGGCGGCCGTCCAGGATGATCCACACACACACACACACACACACACTCGACGCGCTTTCGGCGAGGCGAGGGCGCTGAGGGGCATCCCGAGGCTGAAGGCCGCCGAGCCACCGAGGGCCGACGGAGACTATCTCCACCGTCTATCTTGGTCAGCGTCAATTCGTGGACAATCCTCGCGAATCGGCGACGGCCGGCATGGACCATGACTCACGCACACACACACACTTACCATAAACCCTCCCACCGTGGAGACCAGAAGATGGGGAGGGAGAAGTAGGAGAACAAATGCGAGAGGACAAAGAAGGAGGGAACAACACGAGATGGAGAGGGAAGAAAGGAGGATACCGAGACGAAGAGGACGGAAGGACCAGGAGGAGGAAGATGAGGGAGGGGGGAATCGGGGAAGGAGGACGAGAAGCAATAGGAGGAGCAACAACTTGTGGACGAGGAGGGGCAACAAGAGTAGAACGACGACGAGGACAGGCTCTCCTCGCCAGCGGCCGCGGGTGCAGGAACACCAGCGGGCCTGCTGGACTTGGTACCAGCCTCTGGGGGGGGGGGGATAAGGATGAAGTGAAGATGAAGTGATGTGCTGATGATGCTTAGCTGCCTGATGAGATGACGTGATGAATGATGAGGAGGAGGAGGAGGAGAGGAGGAGGAGGAGAGGGGAGGGCGGGAGGAGGAGGAGGAGGAGGAGGAGGAGGAGAGGAGGAGGAGGAGAGGAGGAGGAGGAGGAGGAGGAGGAGGAGGAGGAGAAGGAGGAGGAGGAGGAAGAGGAGGAGGAGGAGGAGAGGGAAGGAGGAGGAGGAGGAGGAGGGAGGGAGGAGGAGGAGGAGGAGGAGGAGGGAGGAGGAGGAGGAGGAGGAAGGAGAAGGAGGAGCAGGAGGAGAAGGAGAGGCCCGGAGGGGAGGTGCAGGAGGGAGGAGGAGAGGAGGAGGAGGAGGGGAGGGAGGAGGAGGAGGAGGAGGAGGAGGGGGAGGAGGAGGAGGGGGAGGAGGGAGAGGAGGAGGAGGAGCAGGAGGAGAAGAAGGAGGCGGAGGGGGAATGATGCTGATGATGATGATGATGATGATGATGATGATGCGCTGATGATGATGATGCTGATGATGAGATGATGATGATGATGATGATGATGATGATTGATGAGTGATGATGATGATGAGGATGATGATGATGATGTTGATGATGATGATTGATGATGATGAGGAGGAGTAGGAGAGGAGGGGAGGAGGACGAGGTCGAGGAGGGAGGAAGGAGGGGGAGGAGGGAGGGAGGAGGAGGAGGAGGAGGAGGAGGAGGGGGAGGAGGAGGGAGAGGACGTAGAGCAGGAGGCAGAGGAATCAACCTGTAGCCAGATCGAGGAAGTCCGTGGACCCCGGTCGTTCCCAGCAGGGGATATGTCGACCCATATCCCAGGCTTCGTAGGGTTTTCGGATCGACCCGAAATTTGGGGCCCAACTCGGGGATACAGGATGGGGGGTGGCGTCTATCCCCGGTAGGGGTGCGTCCGAATAGCCCCCTTGGGGTGCATCCCAGGGCCCCCCCCCTTCCTGAGCGGCTTCATCTTTCTTCGCACAGTCGAGGGTCGGGGGAGAAGCATCGCCTGCGAAGTCCCCCCCCTGGCCCACAAACAGGAGGGCCAAGGGCGTCAGAACTTGGCAACCCGGGAGGGCCACCAGCAGCGAGGGGGAAGAGCGAGACAGAGAGAGGCGAGCGGGGCGCGGAGGCGGAGGACGGCGGGAGCAGAGACAGGGCGGGGATTGAGAGGGCCTGGGGGGGCGAGTGGGGGTCCAGGGAGAGGGGGCCAGGGAGGGAGAGGGGGTCAGGGAGGGAGAGGGGGCCAGGGAGGGGGAAGGGGGAGGAAGGGATGACAGGGGGAGGGGCGGGGGGGCGGAACAGGGTGGACGATCTCCCAGAACGCGCTCCGAGGCGGCGAGCGGAAGGCGTTCGCGCGTAGCCCACCTTCCGACGACCTGGCGGGGGCGGCAGCCACGCGGGGCCGCGCGCAGGCGGGAGGGAATCCTCAGAAAAAAAAACCCGCGCGGCACTGCGGCGAGAACGCCATGTGCCCCCCCCCCCCCCCCCCCTCTCTCCCGTCCGGAATGCACTTAGGACGAAGCTGGGAGAAGGATAAACATTGGGTAAGGATAGGAAGAGGAGGAGGAGGAGGAGGAGGAGGAGGAGGAGGAGGAGGAGGAGGAGGAGGAGAGGGAGGAGGAAGAGGAGGAGGAAGTGAGGAGTAGGAGGAGTAGGAGGAGGGGGAGGAGGAGGAGGAGGAGGAGGAGGAGGAGGAGGAGTGATATTCGGCGGCTCTGGAGGGTATATCGGGCGCCGAGGCCTTCTCAGAGCGTTCCCCCCAAAAACTCTGAGAGCGTTCCAGAACGCTCTGGAACGGATTCGTGTCCTCGTCGCAGCCCCGTCCGAGCACTTCCGATGAGAGCGGCGAAGAAAAAAACACACGCCGCGCTAAAACATCTCTGCTACCTTCGCACCACGGTGCGCGGCGCCAGGGCCATGGGGAGGGCAACATCTCAGTTGCATACCCGGGCATCCGGCGCTCCAGTTTTTGTTCCGAGGCCTGGATCCCCGGAGGTCTGGACAACCTCCCTCCTCCTCCTCCTCCTCCTAGTCCTCCTCCTCCTCCTCCTCCGCATCCTCCTTTTCTCCTCCTACTCCTCCTGTTCCTCCTCCTCCTCCTACTCCTCGTCTCTGTCATCCTCCTCATCCTCTTCCCCTCCATCCTCCTCTCCGCCCTCCTCACCTCCGCCTCGCCTACTCCTCTCTCTGCTCATCCTCATCCTCCTCCTCCTCCTCTCCCCCTCCCCTCCCCTCCCCTTTTCCTCCTCTCTCTCCTCCTCCTCCTCCTCCTCCTCCACTCCCCTCTCCTCCCCTCCCCCTCCTCTACCCTCATTATTCCTCCTCCTCCTCTTCCTCCTCCCTCTCCCTCCCCCTCCTCTCCTCCCCCCTCTCCTCCGTCTACTCTCCTCCTCTCCTCTTACGCTCTCTTACGCCGCCTCATCCTCCGTTCCTAGCCGCCTCCTCCTCTCTCCCCGTCTCGCCTACCTCCTCCTCCTCCCCTCCTCTCCTCCTCGTCACCCTCCCCTCCCTCCTCCCCTCCTACCCCTCCTTCCCCTCGTTCCTCATCCTCCTCTTCCTCCTCCTCCTACTCCTCCTCCTCCTCATCTCCTCCTCTCCCCCGCTTCCTTGTTCTCCTCCTCCTCCTCCTCCTCCTCCTCCTCCTCCTCCTCTCCCTCCTCCTCCGTCTCGCCTTGATGCACTGATGCACTGACAGGTCCCGAGTCCACTCCAGGAGCAGAAAGAGACACAAAGTTGAACGAAGGGCTAGGGCGGCGCCTACGGAGAAGAAGGCAGGCTGAGAGGAGGCGAGGAAAGAGTGAAGGAAGGAGAGTAGGCGCCTCCTCCCCCTCCTCGTCCTCCCCCAGCGACGACGACGACGACGACGACGACGACGACGACGACGACGACGACGACGACGACGACGACGACGAAGACGTCGCGCGGAGGCCCTGCCGAGCCCCCCGGGAGGCCTTGGGCGGGGACGGCGGGCTCACGGGCCCAGGCGCGCGCCCGCTGCCCGAGAAGGCGCCCATCGTCCAGAGCAGGAAGAAGATCGAGGGCAGCAGCAAGCACAGCACGAGCGCCTCATCCAAGAGGGGGAGGGGGATGGATGGATGCGGCGGAGGGAGGAGGAGGAGGAGGAGGATCAGGAGGAGGAGGAGGAGGAGAGGATGAGGGGAGGAGGAGGAGGAGGAGGGGGATTGTAGGAAAGAGTGAGGAGGAGGAGGAGGAGGAGGAGGAGGAGGAGGAGGAGGAAGAGCTAGGAGGAGGAGGGGGATCCGCGGGAGGGGACGGAAGACTTTCCTGAGATCCGGGCGTTGCAAATTGTTCGCGCCGGTCCTTTTCGCCTGGCTTCGGGCCCTGGTTTCGCAGGAAGATGGAGTCTAGGGTCTAGGGCTCCGATCGTGATTTTTCGCGGCGTCCGCAGCAGTCGGGGGCAGCAGCACGAGCGCCTCTCCAAAAGGGGGGAGGGGAAGGAGGAGGAGGAGGAAGAGGAGGAGGAGGAGGAGGAGGAGGAGGAGGAGGAGGAGGAGGAGGAGGAGAAGGGGGGAGGAGGGGGTAGGAGGAGGAGGAGAAGGGAGGAGGAGGAGGAGGAGGAGGATGGAGGAAGAGGAGGAGGAGGAGAGGAGGAGGAGGAGGAGGAGGAGGAGGAGGAAGGAGGAGGAGGAGGAGGAGGAGGATCAGGAGTGAGGAAGGAGGAGAGGGGAGGAGGAGGAGGAGGAGGAGGAGGAGGAGGAGGAGGAGGAGTGGGAGGAGGAGGAGAGGGAAGAGGAGAGGGAAGAGGCAGAGGAGGAGGAGAGGAGGAGGAGGAGGCGGAGGAGGAGGAGGAGGAGGAGGAGGAGAGGAGGCGAGGAGAGGGAGAGGAGGAGGAGGAGGAGGAGGCGGAGGAGGAGGAGAAGGCGGAGGAGGAGGATCCGCGGTTTGAGGGGCGGTGGGGGACAGTCCCTGAGAAGATGCGCAGAATCCTGAATGTTCGCCGCTGGTGGTTTCGCATGGTTTCGGGCTCCAGGGCCCGGGTTTCGCAGGAAGATGGGGTCTGAGGCTCCGATCCTAAGTTTGTGCGGCGTCCGCAGCGAGAAATATATCGGGGGCAGCAGCACGCGCCTCTCCGCAAGGGGGGGGTGAGGGACTTTTCGAGGAAGCGGAATCCAGACCTCCCACGTATTGAAACATCGAAGCAGATGCTTTTCTGCACTTTTGGGCGGGGACGCACTGACCCGGGTCAGCGCAAACCTGGGTCAGCGCAAACAAGGTTCAGCGGAGGGAAGAAACAGGGAATCGGCTCACCGTGGTTTCCAAAACCGGATCAGCCAGAGGGGATTGGCTGACCCCCGTAAGCGCTGAACCCGGTTGCGTGCACCCCGACCTGGGACCGTAAGAAACCCAGCCCAAGAATGTCCAAGATACAGTCGAGGCCAGTCCACAAGAAACCTTCCACACGAAACCCAACCCTGAGAATCCAGGAGGTTCATTTAGTTTTGTTGTGGGAGCGTCACGCTTTCCATAGCGAGACCGTCGACATCCAAGAAATCCAGGGCACCCTGGAGGCAAGCAGGGTGTTTCTTGGCATGGGCCACCACTGTAGAGAGCTGGCCCCCAGAGAGAGGTCCAGAGCTCCAAGAAGAGGCCCCGAGCAGTCAGGAGATCAAGGACAGCCGCGCGAGCGCCCCGCCGCGGGGGGCGGGAGAGTGGCACTCTCAAGGAAGAGGACGAGGAAGGAGCCAGAGGTAGAGGTACTTACCGCTGCAACTACCCTTGCCTCACTTTCGCTTTTTTGCTGGGCCTCCTCGGAGACTCCTGTCGCCACGGGTGCGTTCGCCTCGGAAACATACCCAGAGAGGTTCGGGGAGCAGCGGTATCGGTATTGTCCCACAGTGCGGAACAGACAGAAGAAGAGGGAGGATACTTCCGAGGGTTCAGAAGGGGAAGGACGCGCAAGAGGACGCGCAGGAAGAGTGGGAGGACGCGCGAGCGGGGGAGCAAAGGGGAGGACCCTCAAGAGGGGGACGCGCAAGAGGGGGAGGACACGCAAGAACAGGGGGAGGACGCGCAGGAGGGAGAGGACAGGGGAGGACGCGCAAGAGGGGGAGGACGCGCTGCAGGACTTGGAGGAGGAGGAGGCGCCCCTCGCCCAGGGCAGGAAAACGTCGATCGGGGGCAAGCGCGAGCGCCCACCGAGGGGGGAGGGGGCAGGGCAGGGATGACTTAGAGGAAGGGGGAGGCGCTCATCGTCGAGAGCATTTTCTGGTTGCGGCGATAGCGGGCGCTCTGGCAGGGAGAGGGGAGTATTACGTGAAGGGGGGGCAGCACAGCGCGCGCTATGGCCTAGAAACCGCCGTCCAAACTGGGTGAAATCTCGATGACAGAGCAAGCGCGAGCGCCACTCCGCAGGGGGAACGGTAGGAGGGGAGGACTGGCCAAGGGGAGTGGTTACCAGCCTGGAACATATCCCTATCCCTATGCTGGGCGCCTCCTCATCACGATGCCAATCTTAGGGGTTCCCTTATTTTTTGATGGCGAATCCCTAAGATTGTTATCGCCTTTTGGCGTGTCAATCTTGGGGATAGGGACACGTTCGAGGCTGGTAAAGCAGGGGAGACTTTCACTTGGGAATCGGCGATACGTCCCCGGTAAATCGGCGATGGGCTCTGGAGAGCGACACCGCACGCTCACGGGCGGGCGGGGCACCCGGGCACCGATCGGAGATGAATGGGCGACGGTGCGTCGAGGCTTCCCCCCCCTGGGCCCATTCCACCTTGACGTTGCCCCTGCTTGGGGAGGAGGGTGAGGAGGAGGAGGAGGAGGAGGAGGAGGAAAAGGAGGATGAGGAGGAGGAGGAGGAGGAGGAGGAGGAGGAGGAGGAGAAGGAGGAAGTTCAGAGATTCAGACTCCTCGCGAAGCGTGTCAAATAAAGTTCGGGCTTAACCGACCTCTCAGCCTTGCCGAGAGCTTTGGGCGTGAGGCCTCGGCTGATACGGTAAAGATACTCCCTGCCAATTCGGGTAGGTGGCTTGCACTCCTGGGCCAGGCCAACTATACGGGATTGGCCTATGGATCCGCCGGTCTTACAGAACCGCAAGGCGAGAGGCTCATGGAACAACATCTGATGTGAAGGATGGACCCCCCCCAGCGAAATGTAAATGACGCCCCTGAGGAATCCGAACCGTGTGACTGGTGCACCGCTCAGGGCGGAAACAGTCTGACTTCAGAGCAACTCCCCTCGCCGCCACAGACGTGGATCCATGACAAACAACACACCTGAACCCGCAGTCGCTTATGGAATGGGAGGTCGGGAAAAGGGCCACCGTGGCGGGGGTCGGCGGAGGGGGACAAGTCGCACGAGCAGCAGCAGCAGAGGGACGATTGTGTCCACCTACCCTGACGCTCCTGTTCGGCAACCTCTAGGGTCGCCCTCAACAACCTATGACGAACACGGCAGGCCTCGTCTTCGATCAAGAGGACTTTGTGGCGAAGGGCCTGGGGAACGCAAGCCTGTCTGGCCGCTTCTCCTGCAAGACAGTCGGAAAACGTGTTTCCTTCGATCATCCACCGAGGCACGTTTTGCTCAACCATTTCCTCCGCCTCGAGGTGGGATGGAACCCTTAAAACGACGATCTCACCAGGGTCACGACCCTGATCCGACAAGACTTTACCTACCATGCGCCACTCATCGACATTAGTCCCTCTGGGGTGGGCGTAGGTAGCAACGACCTGGGCCGGCACGGAAACGGAAAGAGCGCCTCAAACAAAGGTACCGCAATTACTCTCACCACCGTTCGTACTGGGAGACTTGGCGTTGAGAGCTTGTTACGTCACCCCGCGCTCTTAGGAGCTTTGGTGTTCAGAGATTATTGCGTTGCCACCCGTTCCTGAGCCTTGGCTGGGCCTTGGTGTCAGGAACTTGTTACGTCATCGCTCCCTGCTGGGAGCCTTGGTCTTATCAGCCTGTTTACGTCACCGTTCGCTCTTGGGAGCCTTAGTGTGAAAAGCATTTTGCGTTACCGATCGCTCTTTACTTGGTTTCTCTGAGCCTTCTTGGGAGTCCTATTGCGGCCCTTTTTGAGCACCTTTGGGGGCCTCTTGGGGCTTCTTGGGGGTCTGTGAGGGCCTCCTGGGAGCGTCTTGGGGCGAAAAGCTAGACTTTCGGGTTCGTGGTCCCCCTTCTGGGGCCGTCTTGGGGCCATCTTGGGCCATCTTGGGCGCCTCTTGGGCCGTCTTGGCGCCCTCTTGGGCCGTTTGGGGGGCCTCTTGGGGGCCCTCTGGGGCCGTCTTGGGGAATGTACGTTTTCCGATCTGAAATCCATGATTTTCGCCTCCTGATGGCCTCGTCGGACGCCTCTTGGGGGCCTCTTGAGGCTTCTTTGGGGGCTGTGGGGGCCTCCCGGGAGCGTCGTGGGGCGATAGGCTAGACTTTTCGGTTCGTGGTCCCCCTCTTGGGGCCGTCTTGGGGCCCGCTTGGGCCGTCCTGGGCGCCTCTTGGGCCGTCTGGGGGCCCTCTTGGGCCGTTGCAGGGGCCTCTTGGGAGCCTCTTGGGCCGTTTTGAGGCGGTCTTGGGGGGCCTCTTGGGTCGTCGTCTACGCCATGAAAGGCGAAAAGCCGTAGATGCAAAAAATCTACGCTTGCATCGGGCAAATCTATGATTTGGGCCTCTTGGGGCCCTCTTGGGACGCCCCTCGGGCGCCTCTTGGGGGCCTCTTGGGGGCCTCTGGAGAGCCTCTTGGGCGGTCTTGGGCTTTCTTGGAGCGCTCTTCGGCCGTCTGGAGGGAGAACCCGAAAAACATTCAAAAACCCTAGGGAAAACATCCCAAATCCATTAAACCCCGCCCGCGCGCCTCGCCCCTCCCCTGGACCCCTGAAGGGCTTCGCCCCCTGCTCAACGTCACTCGTACCTCGCTCTTTCCGTCCCCCCCCCCGGCCCCTCGCCCCCCCCCCTGCACCCCCCCTACGAAGGGCGTCGCCCCCAACTCAACGTCACTCGCTCGTACCTCGCTCTTTCCGTCATCCCACCATCTCGAGCAGACGGCATCATTATCGGTTGCAAAAGCAAGGGGGGCCCGCGAAAGACGAATGGCTGTGGCGAGCGCATATAACTCGCCCCTAGCAACTGTCTGGGGGGTCCCTGGTAGGGGTCCGAAAAAGGTAGGACGGAGAGCGCCATTGAGAGGAATCGACCACCGCCACCCCCACACGGCGAAGCCGAAGGTCGTGTGTGTGTGTGTGTGTGTGTGTGTGTGTGTGTGTGTGTGTGTGTGTGTGTGTGTGTGTGTGTGTGTGTGTGTGTGTGTGGGTGTGATTATGTGTGTCAGGTCCTCCAAAGCGTCACCAGGCAAGATAAACACGATTATCTAGGTGCTTATATACTCCCCAAAAGGATGGGGCCAATATCTGAGATACATTTGGGAGGGGTCGATAGGATCCTCCAGAGGAGCGAGGAGGAGGAGGAGGGAAGGAGGAGGGGGGGAGAGGAGGAGGGAGGAGGAGGAGGAGGAGGAGGAGGATGAGGAGGCTGAGGAGGAGGAGGAGGAGGAGGGAGGAGGAGGAGGAGGAAGGAGGAGGAGGAGGAGGGAGGAGGAGGAGGAGGAGGAGGAGGAGGAGGAGGGAGGGGGAGGAGGAGGGTATGAGAGGCGTAGGCGGAGGCAGGCAGGAGGAGGAGGAGGAGGAGAGGAGGTAGGAGGAGGAGGGAGGAGGTGGAGGGGGAGGAGGAGGAGGAGGAGGAGGAGGAGAGGAGGCAGTAGGAGGAGGAGGGGAGGAGGAGGAGGAGGAGGAGGCGGGAGGAGGGAGGAGGGAGGAGGGAGGAGGGAGGAGGAGGAGGGAGGAGGGAGGAGGAGAGGAGGAGGAGGAGGAGGAGGAGAGGAGAGCGAGGAGGAGGAGGAGGAGGAGGAGGAGGAGGAGGAGGAGGAGAGGGAGGAGGCGGAGGAGGAGGAGGAGGAGGAGGAGGAGGAGAGGCAGGAGGAGGAGGGAAGGGAGGGAGGAGGAAGGGGGGAGGGAGGGAGGGAGGGAGGGAGGGAGGGAGGAAGGAGGGGAGGGAGGGAGGGAGGGAGGGAGGGGAGTGGAGGAGGAGGAGGAGGAGGAGGGGAGGAGGAGAAAGAGGAGGAGAGGAGGAAGCAGGGAGGAGGAGGGCCAATTGTGTGCGCACGCACCAAGTCTGACATCCTGCTCGTCCTACCCACCCCTTTCCAATTTGCATTCATTCATGGGTAACTTCTGTTTTCGTCCGCGGACGCGTGTCACAGTGGGCCTAGAACTCCTAGAAAGACTTCATCGTGAGGGCGCAATCGGAAAGGTGGAGCTGCGTACATACATAGGAGGGCTGGGGTGGGGGATGAGCAAGACGAACAAGGAGGAGAGGAGAGAGAGGGAGGCGGAGGAGGAGGAAGGGAAGGGACGAGGAGGACGAAGAGCAGCATCATGTGGAATTGGAGTGGAGGGGTCTGGAGGGGCAGGGGGACCAGCGGCAGCCGGAGGAAGGACAGGAGGGGGGCGACAACGATGAGGACGGACTCTGATCCAGGAGAGTGGCCCGCGCTGGAGCAAGAGCGCCCTCCTGAACGGAGGGAGAACAGCCCAGATCCCCAGGTAAGGTCCACGCTGCAGCGGGAGCACCGTTGCGGAAGGACCGGGGACTCCCGGACTGGACGGTCGCGTAAAGAGACATCAACTCGGCCCCGTTTTGCGCAAAACCACCTTGCGCGGAACGGGCGGGCGACTCTCGGGCAGTCTTCGGGGGAGAGAGGGGAGTAGAATTCATACAATCAACGCCACTAAGAATTGACGCAGCAGTACACAGATGCAAGGGCTTTGGATGGCCATGTCGACACTCTGCGAGCGGGGCGCGGCCAGCGAAGGCGGCCGAGGGTGGGCCGAAGGGGCAGGATGCAAGTGCAACCTTGGAAAGTCGCTCGTCCTCAATCAGCGGGTCGATAGTATTGCTTGATGTGCACAAGGAAGTCGCTGGAGCTCGCCGAGAAACCACGGTGTGGCCGCGACCTCGCAGGGAGAACGGGCCCGGCGGGCCACCGCGGAGGCTGGCCTCCCGTCCTGTGGAGCCCCCCTCGTGGGCGCCCCTGGCCTTCAGGGGTCCCCCCCTGTGGCCGGGGAGGCGTGCCCTTCCGAGTCCTCGGAGGGTTCTCGCGCGGCCTGCCTTGGAAAAAAGGGGCGAAGGCGCATCGCTTGCCCGTGCAGAAGGAGGGGGGGGCAGGAGGGGGGCTCGATGGACGCAGCCGCCAAAGACAGGTGCCGTTGAGCCTGGGCATCTGGCGGAGATCGCCGAGAGACGGGCAGCCACGGATGAGAACGGCAGGGCGGCGGGGGCGTCGGACCGACGCGAGATCCTCGAGGCGGAGGAGGTGGTGGTGGTGGTGATGCCGTTGGAGGCCAGGGCCCGTCCCCACCCCGAATCAGTTGCGGCCGCGAAGGGGAAGGAAGGACGCGTGCGCGAGGAAGCGCTGCGTCGCCTCCGCCCCGCTGCCTGCGGGGACTCGCTCTGACGTCTTGGCCAGGAGCGGGCGCCGCCTCGGCGGGGCGCCTCCCCGTGCTGCGCTTGGGGGGGGAGGTGGAGCGCGGCCGAATGGCGAGCACCGTGGCTGCGTACCCCTCTGGCAGGCGCGAGGCCCACCGCACACTCTGAACCTCAGCGCGTAGAAGACGACCCAGGCGAGGAAGAGCCGGACCGAGAAACCGGCGAGGATGGCGACAGCGCTTCGGAGGGAGGAGGGCGGGAAGGGAGAGGGCAGAGGGGGGAGGGGAGGGGGGAGCGCGTGGAGGATGGCTGGGCGGGAGGGGGGAGGCACGAATGAGATACCGATTGGGGCGAGGAGAGCCGCACGGGCGCCTGCCGGGGGGATCGCCCCCCCCCCACCCCCTAGACGTCGTCGCATCTCGGCGTCGTCGTCCCGTCGCCGTCTCACATCTCCTCCTGCTTCCCCCTCCCGCCTTCCCCGCTCCCCCCCTCTTCCTCCCTTCTCCTCTCCTCCTCCTCCTCCTCCTGCCTCCCTCCTCCTCCTCCTCCTCCTGCCTCCTCCTCCTCCTCCCCCTCCTCCTCCTCCTCACTCCTCCGCCTCCTCCTCCAGTCCTCCTGGATTGTCATCACTCCTCACTGTGACAACCCGAGGCCGGTCGAGAGGGCGGGCTTGGCGTTTCGCCCGGGGCTTCCTAACCACCTATGGCCCTAAGACGAGACATGTCAACAGTTTCGCGGATGGAGGGAGGGTGTCACTCTCGCCTTAGCAGCGCGCACAACCGACTTCCTTTAAACGTTGAAGAGCTTCACGGCTGGAGGGCGGGTCGGTTTCACAATGTGGCTCTCGCCTCGGCGCCGCGCACACCCGTCTAAAACACACGGCATGAGCTTCACGGATGGAGAGCAGCTCGTGTTGCTCTGAGTGTGCTTCCTGCCTGACTGCTACGTGGATTCCCTGAGAAAAAAAACAAGAGCTTCACGGGTTGAGGGCGGGCCGCTTTCAGATTGCGGCTCCCGCCTCAGCGCCGCACACATCCATCTTTTTTTCATAACGTGCAAGAGCTTCACGGATGGAGGGGGCTCTTGTTCAACATGAGGTTCTCGCATCAGGGTCGCGTTCATTCGTTGTCACAAGGTACAAGTTCGAATACTATCACGGCGACTGTCCCCCAAACATGGTGCTTTGGCACGGTGACGGACTTTCAGGGCGCAGCAATTCTGTTGAGTCGTTACGTTGGAAGTCTCAATCATGGTCACATTTCAGGATCGTCACGACGCACCTGTAACGGCGATCCGTGGCGTGAAATCTAAGAACTGGTGTTCGTGCACAGTTCAGGATGTCCAAGTGGTTGTGTTCCAGTGGGGCTTTTTGCTGCAGTGAGAGTGAATCCTTCTAGGGGCCTCTGAAGAGGGAACTTGGAGGGAGGGTGTATTGCAATATCGGTGGCGAGTCTTGCGTCTGCACTCGGCGTCCTCCTCCTCCTCCTCCTCCTCCATTTCGTTTTCTTTTGTGTGTTAGTATTAGTATTATTCCTCCTCCTCCTCCTCCTCCTCCTCCTCCTACCTCGCCTCCTCCTCTCCTTCCTCCTCTTCCTCCGGCTCTTCGTCGTCGTCCTCGCCCTCCTCTTCCGACTGGTCCAGCGGGGGAGGAGTAATGGGGGGGCGCCAACTGGAGGCCGAGGATTCCTCCTCGGAGAATCGAGGGAGGGCGTCGAGGGGACCGAGGAGTTGTACCTCCTCGGCGGAAGAGGGGGGGATGGGGAAGGGGAGGAATCGAAGGCCTTCTCCTCTTCTGGAGGGCGGGAGGGGCGGATGGGGGGGGAAGACGAGGTACGGGAGACTGGGGTGAGGAGAGATGGGGGGTGCAGAGGCAGGCTTGGCAGCAGCAGACGGGGGACAATGGAGGAAAATTGGATTTCTCCGACCTTCCTGCCCCCTCCCCTGCCGCCCGTGGGGCGACCGTCATTCTGATGACTCCCTTGGAAGAGTTCGGGATGATCATGGCCATGATGTCGACGGAATCGGAGTCGTTGTCTGGACACAGGGGCGGGCGGCGGCGCCGTCAACGGCAGAGAGAGAGAGAGAGAGAGAGCATGGGGACGCCCCGAAGGCGCCTGGCCTGGACGGGCGTGGGGATGAAGAAGTGGATGATGAGAAGGAGGAGGAGGAAGAGGAGGCGGAGGAGGCGGATGAGGGGGAAGAGGAGGAGGAGGAGGGAGAGGAATGGGAAGGGGAGGATGGGGAGGAGGAAGAGCAGGAAGAGGAGGAGAAGAAGGACGATAATTAGGAGGAGGAAGAGGATGGGGTAGGAGGAGGAGGAGGAGGAGGAGGAGGAGGAGGAGGAGTATGAAAAGGAGAAGAAGGAGGGGGGGAGAAGGAGGAGGCGGAGGAGGAGGGGAAGGAGAAGGAGAGGAGGGGGAGGTGCAGGAGGAGCAGAAAAAGGAGGAGGAGGAGGAGGCAGACCGCAGGACGGCGCAGCCGAAGGGCAGGCCTGCGTCGGCCGAGCCCTGGTTGCTGTGCAGTGCGTGTGGGGGGGGGGGGTAGCTAGGCTGTGCGCCGCGGGGCGGGCGGGAGGGGGCTAAGGATAGACGCGTGTGTAAGGATATACATCTAACGACATATACATACATATAATATATAATATATAATATATAATATATAGATATAATACATGTATATATACATGTGTAAATGCATGCATGCATACACATACATGCATGCATGCATACATACATACGTACATGCACACACATACATGAATACACCACTCCACACGTACACACCAAGAAGCATACATCCATATATATATATATACATGTGCATACATACATACATACATACATACATACATACGTACATGCGTACATACGGACATACGTACATACGTACATGCATACACGCACATACACACGCACCTATATATGTATATACACAATCATAACATACATACATGCGTACATGCATGCATGCATGCAGGCCTACCTACATCCATATATACACACATCGATGAATACCTACATACATACATACATACATGCATGCATACATCCACACACACATACATACATGCATACATACGTATGTACACACATACATACATACATACATACATACATGCATGCATGCATGCATGCATGCATCCATACATATATACACATGCATACACACAAACCTACATACGAGAAACACCTACACGTATACACATACATACGCACGTACATACACACATACATACATACGCACATCCATACATGCATGCGTGCATACATGCATGACTGCGTACATGCATGCACACATACACATATGAATGCATGTACACGTTCATACACCCATAAACCAATCATTCACACATCCGCACCCACGCACACATATACATACACCCAGGCCATCCATGCACACATGCCTGCATGCATGTATGCATGCAAGAATACATGCATATATGCATACATACATACATGCACACACATACATACATGCACGCATGCATACATACATGCATACATACATACATCCATGACTACATGCATACATGCATGCATACATACATACATATATACACATACATACATACATACATACAGACAGACAGCCAGACAGACAGACAGACAGACAGACATACATACATGCCTATGCACGTACTTAAAGGCATTCACGCATACACACATACATGCATGCATACACATCTACACACGTATATGTATGCATACATATTTATATCCATGTATAACACATGCGTACATACATGCATACATGCATACATACATGCACACGCATGTGTATACGAAGTATATATGCACCTGCTAGAACCACGCGCGCTCTTCTCGCGCGCTTAGGTTCAAGCAATCTCTAGTTGTGGTCTACGAAGCATTCGGTATCGGGGGGCATGTATTGTCACACGGACCGTGCCCCTCAGGGAGCTCCCCCTGCGGCCCCAAAGACAGGCTTGGCTCAGCGCCCCCCGCCCATGTCGGCACACCCCTCACAGGGATCGCGCCCCACAGGGAGCTCCACGCACGTCCCAGAGACAAGGTTCGCACAGTGGCAAGCCGCATCACGCGGACCGTGCCCCGCAACTATCTGCATGTGCGGCAGCAGAGGAAAGCTCCATAGCGTCGCCCCGCTCACTTCGGTACACCTCTCACACGGACCGCGGCCCGCAAGGAGGTCCACGGACGGCCCCACAAGCAAGGTTCGCATCCTGCCCCCCCCCCCCTACTTCGGCAAAACTCTCACACGGATCGTGGCCCACAAAGATCTCCACCCACGGCACCAGAGGCAAGGTTCGCACTGCGCCCCCCCCGGCCATTTCGGCACATCCCATCATGCGTATCGCGCCCACAAGGAGCACCATCTAAAGGTCCAAAGACCAAGTTCGTACAGCTCCCCCCCAGCCCATGCCAACACATGCCCCAACGCTCCACCTGTGCCACCACTGGGCAGCTTCACATGGCGTCCCCCCGCCTGTTTCGGAACATGCCTCACACGGGTCATAAGCCCCCGAGAAGCCCCCAAAGGCCCCCAAGATGCCCAAGGAGGCCCCCAAAATGCTGCCAAGAGGCCCCCAGGAAGCTCACAGGAGGCCCCAAGAGTGCCCCCAGAGGATCCCGAGATGACCCCATCCTCCTCCTCCTCCTCCTCCTCCTCCTCCTCCTCCTCCTCCTCCTCCTCCTGACCTTCCCCGCAATCCTCCCTCAAGTGTTCCCCGAAGGGTTTCTTCAACGGCTGGGGAAACACATGGCCCGATAGAGTGGCAGAGCTCTTGCCAGAAAGCTCGGCCACATGGGCGATTCCAAAAGGCAGGGTGCGGCAGTGATTCGCCGTAGGCGTCTTCAATATACATACGTTTAGAAACGATGATCGATGAAGTGCGCACGGCGCCTTCACCTTCAAGCACAAAAACAAGCTTCTGGATGATATCATGCCATCCACAGGGCTTCGAACCTTCAGCTCGAACACGCACGCCATGACACACGGCCCCACTTCATAAGCGGGTGTGTGCGCCTGGAGTGGAGAATGGGCCTGGGAGAGCGAGAAGGCATAAGCCGACAAGAGGCGACGAGCACAGCTGAGCTCCGCGGCCGACCCCAAACGGTCCATACCACGCAGTGCCTCCCCCCCTGAGGGGCGGTGGAGGACTCCGCTTCACGCAGATTGCGCCGGGCCGCAAGCAAGTCATGGGCCTCAACGACCCTCCACCCATAACAAGTGAAAGGACCCCTCACCCTTTGGGGAGGGACCTTTTTCCTGAAGATGTAGCAGACCAATCAACAGGGACCCAAGTGAGACCGCAGCGTCATCGTGTTATCAGGGATAAGGGGTTCTCTTGTTCTCTATGGTCAACGGCTCTCCAGGGCCCTGCCCTGTGGCCGTGCGGCCGAAACCCGACCTGCTGCTGGAAAGGGCGCCTGGCCGCCTGACCGTGCGAGCTGCCCCGTGGCACTGCGCTGCATCCTCCTCCTCCGTCCGCTCGTCTCCGCTCCTCTCCGCTCCTCCCCCTCCCCCTGCTCCTCCTCCTCCTCCTCCTCCTCCTCCTCCTCCTCCTCCTCCCACTCCTCCCCCTCCTCCTCCTCCGTCCGTAACCATCTTGGCTCAAGCACCGGCTCGAGGCGTGTCCGTGGCATTCTTGCTATCGGATGAGACCTCAACGAGTCCGGCCCTGCGCCGACCTGGGGCGCTCGGGGGACGACGTAGCAGCCGCACGCAGTAGTGCAGCTTTTCGCGTCGGCGAAGCAGGGCGAATGTGGGCGAGTGCGATTTCGGTCTGGTACTGCAGCTTCACCAGTTAAACTTGCGATGCTTTCGCTGAGGCCTCCTTCAGACATTCGTTCTTTGCTAATGGCAATCTCACAGTGCTGGTCCTTTTGTTCCTCCCATTGGCCAATAGCTCCTGGGCATCTACTGTAGGGCGACGGTGTCAGTTGGGGCCAAGCTGCCAAGGTCCGCCAACGAGGCCCAAGTGCGCTGCCGCTGGTGGTCCCGAATGGCCGGCAATGACGAGGGAGCTTGTTCCGTGAAGGTGGCGGCCCACCAGAGTGAGGCGGCCATGAGGGAGGGTGGGATCAAGTATGTGCAGAGGCGCGGCAATGGCCACGCGCACAAGCTGGCCAAGCTGGGGCCCGAACCTTTCCGAGCGTCGGAGCAGCAAACGTTGGTAAAGGATGTGCCTCGCTTGCCCTCGAAATGTGCGCCGTTTCGCTGCCTCACAGCAGGCCATATCAGCAAAGCTGAGCTCCACGACCACGCTGAGCTGGATTGGCTCACCACGGTTCCCCCGGAAGCCATCCCCTGGGACTCCCGATCCCTGGAGCCTGCCAGCCGCCTGCTGTAGGGAAGGGCAGCGACCCAGAGGGGCCTGAAGGCTTTCGGGGCTCCCACAAGAGGCCCGCGAGGGGGGATCCATGGGCAGTGTCACGGCAGGCCCTCGAATGGGCACTGCAATCACGTTGAGCTTTTCTGGCAGGGACGCTTTCCCAGATACAGCACGGCTTCCGTGCTGCGCGGAATGGCCCCCTCTCACGCTCGGCGCCCGAAGCGAGGGGCCCTCGGCCCTCTCCTCCCCGGATGCCTCCTCTCCCCCCCTCCCTGGGACCTCCGGCGGGATGCCGGGGACTCCAGGCCGCCGGCTGCTCAGCGGGGGCCGAGACGCCTCGATCTCTCCCCTGTGGCGAGGCGGCCTCGCTGGAGCAGGCCGCCCGAGGCAGGAACGCGGCGGCCGCCTCGGCCAGAGCGCGAGGGGCGCAGGACGCCGACCCCCCTCCCTTTCAAGGGCGTCGCTCCCCCCCCCCTTTTCCAGAAGCTGCGGGGGGTCGCCCCCCTGAGCAGCGCAGAAAAGTCTGCGCCTCCTCACCCCCCTCCTCATCGCCCTCCTCCCTCCTCGCCCCGCCTCGTCGTCGTCGTCCTCCTCCTCCCTCTCCTCCTCCTCCTCCTCTTCGACCTCCTCCTCCTCCTCCTCCTCCTCCTCCTCTT